TTGTTCAGCTAAATTAATCAATGAATGATTGGCTTTTCACGGAGAAATTTAAAGGTCTCATTGAATACACCTCCATACAGAACAATAGCTTTTTTATTTATACAATGAGACAGTTGAACTTACAAAGAAATATATTCTTATCAAAGAATAAGGAATAAATGAACACTCTGGTAATCCCACGTACAAAAACGTAACTTTTTGTAAGGATGAAATCTTGGCAAAACGTAAGTCCTTCATTGCCTCATTGAATATTTCAATGAGCAACAAATCTGAAGATTTACCTTTCTGGAATTGAATACCTTAACTTCACAAAGATCCATACAATCAACAGTACTTTGCCGGCTGATCTGCATGTTCTTCCAAGGAATTGTCCGTTAAATTAATAAACATGTTGTCCGCAGTGAAAGAGGGATTACGGAAATACTGTGACACTGTTTACTCGCGTAGTGGCATTAACCATACGTGGGTTCTTAAGAACTCAAAAAAATTTCTATAAAATTTTACCCTGTGATTATTCTCTGAAATAAATTCTACCAAAACCTTCAATTTTCACACTCTTTATACCACCATACCATATGAAAAATCCATCTTAAAGAAATAATCCAAAATACTTTCTTCCATAAAAATGGTAATATACGTTTCAAATTTGTTGTTTTGGAATATAATTCTGAATATTTTGTTAAAAATGAGCCCTGAAATAAAACATACTACACCGAAGAACAAGTGATCAGTACGCTAGAGTTCCTTATTGACAGCATTTTTGTTGAATTTGGAGGCAGAATAAAAGCAGATTGTCGGGTTTCCTATGGGAACCAAATGTACACTTCTTCTAACCGATCTTCATTGACAAGAAGGCCAAAGAAGCTAGATCATTTAATTTCACATACAGGTACATTGATGATGTCCTTTCCATTAACAATACAAACTTTTCTGATTGGATCCCATTAAAATTTCCTCCTGATCTAAAGATTAAAGAAACCACAGATACAGCCTTCTCCGCCTCATTTCTAGACATATGCCTTAATGACTACTGCGGTCATCTCAATTCCAAAATCTATGACAAACGAGACGATTTCAATTTTGAAAATATACATTTTCCTCACCTTAACAGCAATATACCAACTTCACCTGCGTATGGAGTATCCATTTTCAACTCATACGATATTCAAGAGCTTGCAGCTGCTACTTAGACTTTGTAGAACGTCATTGGTGTCTGAGCAAAAGATTGATTAACCAGGGTTTTGTCAAAGACCATCCCGCTATTTGAGTTTTGACTTTGTGCGTTCCTAGTGCAGACAGAACCTGAGGTGCGATTGGGATTTAAGAGGTTTTTATTGTTATGTTTCTTTTGGTTACCCTTGTTTTTATATTTTACTTACTAGTAATTTGTACTTTATCGACAAAGTGTTTACTGTATACGGTATGCACTATCAAATACAAAAAAAAAACTTCTTTATCGCCGTCTTTTTCATTCTACCATCAACTGCAAACATTATTTTGTTGGCGTCTTTGTCCAATTTACAATCAACTTCAGCAATCATTTTTTTTTTATGGCGTCTTTGTTATATTAATCAGTATGTTTGTTTGAATTTTTTGTCTCGCTGGCGACGAAAGTAGCGGAAAGCGAGACATAGGGATTGCTTTTCCGGCGGCGGTGGCGTCTACAATTGTTAAGTTTTCTACTTAAGTAAGTTTGATAGGAACTGCTTGTGATAGATCATTAATATTTAATATAAAGTTGCATTACTATCAATACATATCAGTTTGACGACTATTTCGATGCCCTGCCCCCTAGGTCATGGTCCAGCAACTTTGAATTAACTAGCAATGTTCAATGTTAAAGTTTTCTGCTTCAGTAAGTTTAATATGAACTACTTGTGATAGATCATTGATATTTAATATGAAGTTGCATTACTATCAGTACATATCAGTTTGACGACTATTCTGAGGCTCAGCCTCTTAGTCATGGTCCAGTGACTTTGAATAAATAAGCAATTTTCAATGTTAAGTTTTCTGCTTGAGTTAGTTTGATAGGATCTACTTGTGATAGATCAATGATATTTTGTATGAAGTTGCATTACTATCAGTACATATCAGTTTGACGACTATTTTAAGGCCTTGGCTCCTAGGACATGGTCAAGTGACTTTGAATTAATAAGCAATTTTCAATGTTAAGTGTTCTGCTTGAGTTAGTTTGATAGGATCTACTTGTGAAACATCAATGATATTTTGTATGAAGTTGCTTTACTATCAGTACATATCAGTTTGACGACTATTTTTAGGCCTTGCCCCCTAGGTCATGGTCCAGTGACTTTGAAGTAATAAGCAATTTTCAATGTTAAGTTTCTGCTTAAGTCAGTTTGATAAGAACTGCTTGTGACAGGTCAATGATATTTTGTATAAAGTTGCATTACTATCAGTACATCTCAGTTTGTCGACCATTTCTATGCCCTGCCCACAAGATCATGGTCAAACGACTTTAAATTAATAAGCAATGTTGCTGTTCATTAGATTGTCTTTTTCTGAATTTAATGCGGACAGGCGAGACATATCTCTGTGTCAACAGTTTATTTATTCAGTTGTGATGTATGTTTTACCTATTATGTCTATTTGGTTTGCTTACCCAATTTTGTCAGTATTACGGAAAAATAAACAACTGTCATACAAATGGGAGGTTTATCTAGCTATAAAACCAGGTTTAACCCACCATTTTCTTCGGAATATGACAGTTGTTTTTCACTCGTTCTGTTGGTTGGTAACGATTGATTTTGTCGGTTTTATGGACTTCCCGGTTTTTAAAGGCAGTGCCTTAGTGCCTTTAATGGTATCAGGCAATAGCCATTTATTTTCTACGTGGGGGTAAATACTTCATCATAAAAATCCCGAAAAGTGGAATTCTTTCTTCTTCTATTTGTGATATTCTGTGTTTTTTGTTGTTGTTTTTTTTTGTTATTCATTGACACTGGGCAGTAAAGAATGGAACGGTGTGTTTTTGTTGGTTTTCAAAACGTTCGATAGAGTTGCATTTTGCATTATGAGCAGTCAACCGATTGACATACCGGAATTACTTAAAATCCGTGTTTCATTCGAGTGGTATTTTAATCTTTAATTGTTTTTAAGTCGTTTCAGTCGTAGATATATTAATGAAAAGTTGAATGAACTATGCCTAGTCGCCACATGTCAATAATAACTCAGCTTTTTTCAGGAATCCGATTATTTTCCTTTTTCTCATCAGAACTTTTTGTACGTCGAATTGACGAAATTTGCATAAACAGTCAATATCCATCTGGAATTTATTGAAAACCAGAGCTGTTGAAAATGGTTTGACCGTCCGACATAGCTATCATATGTCGATTTTTATCGTGGCCAAATGCTAATTAACAAGTGATAATAGTTTGATTGAACAAACAACAAGTAAACGAATATTAATTACTCGATATGGCTTCTATTTATGGCACACGCCAAAGATGATTCAAGTAAATACCGGTATTGATAGAAAAGTGGATCATCCATCGGAAGGTTTCGATGCCGAAAAAAAACATTTAAGGCGAAGTGTGCGTAATCAACTACTCCACAGATTTTTTAAAAATTTTACATGTGGATTCTGCTTGTAAAAATACATCAGAAAATAAAATAAAAAAAGGGGGTAACCGTTTTCGTTTTTCAGATACAAGCTGTTGAAATTAACAGCATGATACGCCAAAAATACAAAGGATATATCGGCGACAAATATCACAATACAAGTAGCTTTACAAATATGCTTACCACATTAAAATTTGTATCACTAGCAGAACGCAGGCTACGCACAAGATTGGTAATGATGTATAAGATATCATACCATCGTGTTGCTATTCCATCTGACACACTCATACAGGTAGACTCAAGAACCAGGAAAAACTATACACTCACACACAGGCACATATATACATCCAAGGACTCAAACAAACACTCATACTTTCCGTACACAATACCAAAGTGGAATCAGCTTCCTATGGTACTTGTTCAGGCATCATCAGTTGATAACTTCAGTGGACAGCTCACTCCTGCTGTTCTCTGTACTATCATTTAATAACATAAATTAAGATTGTGTATAGTTTTAATCACAAATTTGATATTTTCATTGCACTAAATAATTATTTTCTGTTTAATTTGGGGTAAATTGTTTTATAAATAGTCTACGTATGCAACAGTATGTAATCATCGGATGTTGATGGAATATTGTATACATAAAGAAGATGAAGAAAATTGAGTTGTTGTATGCTAAAAATAGCACTCTGCAGTAAGCATGATGCAGTAATGCTTCATAACTCTTTTGTAGAAGATCATTCCTGTACACTAAGAATACTTTATGTATTTTGAGTGTTTGTCCTTGTTCAAAACCTGAGAAGATAACACCTCTGCTAATAAAGGAATTCTTATCAGATGAATTTCGAGGAGGTTTTCACACTTTAACCCCCATTGAGATTTTCAAAAGTTGGTGGATATGCACACCTATATATCTAGTTGGATTTCTATGAAATTTCTATCATTGTTTATATCCATATCAGCACAGCCTTGGATAGCATTCAGTCCAAAATTCATTCAAAACATTGATACTTTATGTAATAAATCAAATTTGAGATTTTGAGTCATTTGTTGAGCATAAATTTAAATGACAGATAATGCCACTTTAATAAACACAAAAGTGGCAACTGAAGATACCAAGGGGACATAGAAAATTCACAAGTCAAGAGAAAGTGACAACACAAGGGTAAACTAAATGAAAGACGATATTAAGACAAACTAGTTCACAAAACCCAAAGCAACACGAAATTACAAATAAAAATACCCCATTGTATTCACCGTAATAAGCTTTAAAATTTCCCTTTCCCATACTTATCATGAAATGGAAGGCATCTCAATTATGATAATCATAGTACACGAATCAACATGATACAAACTTAGTAATTACAGCTGTTACATTGTTTTTTCATTTCATTTCTAGTTTGATTTCTTTACAGATTTTAACAGAAAAAATTCACATGTAAACCCGCCTCGAGTTTTGCCATTACCTCTGAAGAAGAAAAATGAAGAAGATCGGGACATCGATATGGCATTTAACAAGTACAGTCATGATGATATAGACAATCCACCATCATCACCAGAAAGTGATGCTAGTAAGATTTATTAATGACGTCAGACTTTTACTTTGCAGTAAATTTATTTTACTTATTTTGCCAAAGACTGAATTTTATCTTTATTTATCACTTAAACATTCGTGGTCCATTGTACAACAGAAACACTAGTGACTTATGCGAAAGTCAATGAAAAATAACTAGACAGCTGTACTTTAGAATAAAACTAAGAAAATGTGGCAGATTGCTGATGAGACAACTATCCACCAGAGACTAAAGGACAAGGATGGTAAAATCTATAGGTCACTGTATGGCCTTCAACATTGAGCAAAACAAAAAACGTATAGTAAGCTTTACAAGGCCCTGGCGTGACAAATTTGGAAATCAATTAAAAAGAAAAAAACAACTGCCTAATTTATGCTAAAAACAATAAACCAAGAAATATGACAGACGTATATATAGTCAACAACTAGCCTAGCAGCAATATCCAATATATTGGCATAATTGATCACTGTCTTGTAAAAGTATGAAACTTTGCACAGTGTTAGTTATGATATTAGTTAACATTATTGAATATGGAGCCACAAAAAGATCAAATTTGGCCACCAAATTAAAGTTGACGGACATAAAGTACTGGGAATCCAACTCTATAAACTTGATGATATCTACAAATTTGCAAGAGTTCAGTACATATACAATATAGAAATAAGGAGATGAGGTATGATTGCCAATGAGACAACTATCCACCAAAGTTCAAACAAAGTGGATGTAAGCAATTATAGGCAACCGTACGGCCTTCAACAATGAGAAAAAACCATACCGTATAGTCGGCTATGAAAGGCCCCATCATGAAAAATATGAGAAAATTCAATTGAGAAAACTAACGGCCTAATTTATAACAAAACAATTTACGAAAAACAAAAACAGACATGAACCAACGACAACCACTGAACTACGGGCTCCTGACTTGGGACAGGCACATACAGAATGTGGCGGGGTTAAACATGTTTGTGAGCGCTCAACTCCCCCCCCCCCTAAACTGGGACAGTGGTGTTACAGCACAACATAAGAACAAACTATAAGAATCAGTTGAAAAAAACTGAACTCATCAGATCGATACAAAGCAGAAAAAACATCAAACATAAACACAGACCGGACAAGGAAGGTTATTAATCCATCCCTCATCCCTAACAACAAAAAGGACACTAAGTACAGATCTGAGAGTACTCGCAGTTACTGACAGCTATTTCAAAGCCAATAACAACTAATAAAAAAAATCATGTATCTAAGACTAAAATATCAATCAGTACACATCCAATGGATTTAGTGTAAAGACATCATTAAAAGTCAGAGAAAAACATGACCTTGTGCAATGACAAAATAAAAGTAGCGACAGACTGTAGTACCGTTAAAGTGCATATGTGTATAACAAAACTATTTAGTATGATTTTAATTTACTGATAACAAAATCAATATTTATTTTTTTATACCAATAAAAACAATATTCAAAGATCTAATTACAATGTTGTATTGGTAACCTTTTAAAATAAGTTAATTTAAAGGATTGATAAGTTTACCCGGATCGTATATAAATTTCCGGACTCGGTAAAGAACATCACCGTAAAATTTCGGATGTGCTATTCCGTCTGAAATAAGTTTTTTACAGGTACAGCCAAACTTGCAAACCAAATCTTTGTATCTATGGAAGAATTTAGAAAAGGTTTTAAGTAATTTGTGATAACGAAATCCCTGACTTAATAATTTACCAGTAATACATAATTTACGCTCATTGAAATCCAAAACGCCACTACAGACACGGGCATAACGAACGAGTATGGTATCACATGAAAACCCAGGGTATTAGCTTTCTCACTATTATCAGGTTTTCAGCTTTGTTGTTCACAATTCTTCTCACAAATGAAATATGTACACATACCCCATGAAAAATGCTAAAACACACGTGTATTCGATGTTCTCAAATGAATAAATTATAAACAAACCCTTATCGAAAATTTGATGTATTCTGATACTTATTGTTTAACTGCATATATTTGAAGCAACGTTTGTTGTCAGAATACGAAGAAGATGAAATTTTCAGATTGCAGATTTTCCCATTTGTTGCCTTATTTAAAGTGTTTTACCCAAATATTTTTTCATCATTAATTTCATGGTTTCTATTCTATAGAACACTGTTTAAGTTTTCTGATGAACACTAGAACTGGGTAATTTTAAAAAAGTAAAACCTAAAAATATTGAAAGTATTACCCCAACCCCAACATATTTCAACTGTAGACAATTAATTTCAAACACTAAACCCCTTTAATCGTTCAACTAAACAATAGTTTGGTATATGTCGGTTGTATTAACATGCAACAGATGTATATTCAACCGTCTGGCTTGCATAATGATATATATGTCGCGTTAGAGGAAAATTTAGGATTAACAGATTGTCCATACCTTCTCAAGTTTTGTCATTTTTCTCCTTTTGAAATAACATAAAGTATGTTGACTCAAAAAGATTTGGCCTTCTTGCATGTAACAATGTATTTTACAGTATGATTTCCAAATTAATCTGTTATTTTATTGTACAAAATAGTATGGCAATGCAAAATACTTCTCCCACCCCTTGCAAATTTGACCAAAAACATGAAAAAGAAAATCACATATCTAGACAATGTTTTGCTTCAAATTACTTGCATCCATATCAAAACAGATACATTATTATTACTCTAGATTGTTCCAAGCAATTTGTGTATCTACAGACTTTGAAAAAACGGACAAGTTCAGATTTGTTTCAAATTTTGTCGTTTAAATCCGTTTGAACTGAAAATGCTCATGTAATCCCAAAGACTAATTTATTTCTTCAGTGAAAATATGTAATTGGCGTCTTATGAGCCTAGAGGTGAATTTTTATTTCAAACAAAATCTTATTTAAAAGGATCACATTAACCCTTACCCATGCAAGTTTGAGCATAAATGTATTATTTCGACTGAGAATGGCTTGAAATCATCAAACTAAATATTAATTTTGTTCAAATTTCTGTCACTTTAATAAAATATTTATATTCAACGCATCTAGGAAGATAAGATTGTGCAAAGCCATTATTGTAACGGTAGAATTAAAACAAACGGACGATATCATATTTCCAAATATTCAAATTATCCCAAATTTTGACCTTTTTACCTTTCTGAGATCTAAATGTAAAAATAAAATTGAGAATGGAAATGGGGAATGTGTCAAAGAGACAACAACCCGACCATAGAGCAGACAACAGCCGAAGGCCACCAATGGGTCTTCAATGCAGAGTGTGTATTCACATAGAAATTGATGGTCTTGATGAATCAGTAATGTATTGGAGTTCTATAAAACCCACATCTTTGATTGATTCTCAGCGTAAATTACTTCAAAATTGAAAATACTTTCTCTCCCTCAAAAAGTTGGTTGATTTAAACACACATGTATATTTTTTTTGGCGTTGGGGTATTATATTCAATTAATCTCCTAGTAGAATTGATCAAAGTTCTTTTTTTATTTAAAAGTCATACAATTCTATGTTAACATAAGTATTCATTATCCAGAAAAAAAATTATGGAGATAATCAGGAATAATGAAAATCCAGGAAGGTTAGTTTTCTTAAGCATGTGATTACAAAAAGTGGCTTTTGACAATCTGATATAAATCCAAAACATTATTAAGTTGTGTTAATTTAATCCTTGATTAGTCACATTTTATATCTTTGCTCAAATTATCAAGGTTAGGAGAGAATTTTAGCCTTTTCATTTGATTTTAATTGTTAAAGAGAAAAAAAGATCTATAGGGTATAAAAGACAAAAATACATTGTGGCATTTATAATAGCCAAAAGCTTGTGAAGTTGACAAAACCAATTTGATATTAGATGAATATTTATGATATCATTTTTCGTCTCGCCTTGACGGAGTCAAAAAGCGAGACATAGGTATGCTGTTTCCGGCGTCGGCGGCGGCGTCAACAATGTATTAGTTTGTGATTAGGTCTAGTTTATGGTGAACCACTAGTGGTAGGTCAATGATATTTGGTATGCAGTTGTATTAGCATTGGCACATCTTATTTCCATGGATATTATTTGGCCCTGCCCCCTCAGTCATGGTCTATTGACTTTGAAACTTTTGCTTAGTTTATATGTATTAGTTTGTTATTAGATCAGTTAAAGATGGAACCACTAATGTTAAGTCAATGATATTTGGTATGCGAATGTATTGGCATTTGCAAGTCTCATTTCTATGGAGATTATATAGCCCCACCCCCTTATCATGGTTCATTGACGTTGAAACTTTTACATAGTTAACAAGTTAATGTTTGTGTTTAGGTTTGTTTAAAGGGAACAACTTATGATAAGTCAATGGTATTTGATATGCAGTTGTATAAGCATTGGCACATCTCATTTCCATGGAGATTGTTTAGCCATGCACCTTCAGTCATGGTTCATTGACTTTGAATATTTGCATAACTTACATGTTAAAGTAATGCTATTTAAATTTCAACATTTGCATTATCAAGATAACAAAAAGGCGAGACATATCTCTGTGTTAACAGTTTATTTTTTAATCAGAAAAAACTACAAATCCAAAATTAAACGTTTTTGTTATTTTATTTCTCTGTGTACAACAAATATTACTATAGCGAAATAGTTTCCAAACAATGCTCAAATTTTGACATAGGTAGGGGTAATATTTTCCATTTTAATAAGATTTTGTATGGTCAAATTATAAGTCGCTGGAGTCCATTCCTCGTCCTGGTAAAGCCAATAGCTTTCGATGCAACAAACATATTTTGATTTTAAAAGGACAGAATTTAAGACCATATAAAAGGTCTGAAAATCCAAAATTGTCCTTTTCCCCCAAACTGGGACTACACAAATGATATTACTGTAGCCAAATAGTTTCCAAATATATCTGTTGAACATTGTTACTGCCTTTTTTTGCAAGATTATACTTCTGGTCAAGTATTTAATTTGTTCATTCGTGAATATTCACAGTTTCTAGTTGAAATTTTGGAAAGCAG